TTTTATATGAAGAAGAATTTGACCCATTCTTTCGCTATGAAATACCTGCCACCCATCTGTATTTTGGGAGATCAGTAAGCAAAGATGTGCTTGGCCGTGTGGGAATGACATGCCCTAGACTAGTTGAACTAGTAGTATGTGCAAATGGATTACGGCCACTTGACGAAGAGTTAATTCGCATTGCAGAACGTTGCAAAAATTTGTCAGCTATTGGACTAGGGGAATGTGAAGTCTCATGTAGTGCCTTTGTTGAGTTTGTGAAGATGTGTGGTGGCCGCCTATCTCAATTATCCATTATGGAAGAAGTACTAATTCCTGACCAAAAGTATAGTTTGGAGCAGATTCACTGGGAAGTGTCCAAGCATCTTGGTAGGGTGTGGTTTCCCGACATGATGCCCACTTGGTAAAAACCGCATGATGTAGGGCATGATGAATAGCACCTTAACTTCAAGCAAATGTATTATAATAAAAGTTTTATTTGCTGTAGTTCTGATATAATTCTACTATTTTGTGGCACAGAAATTTGATATCTTCAGTCAGTTTATGTAAAGATTGTTTATTGGAAGACCCATGAATGAGTTTTGGTCAGAAAACTCCATTTGTTTCCTTAGGGTAATAGCAATCATATCTCCGAATTTTTTTAAATGTGGTTCAGATGTAAAAGTAATAACCAGTTATACATGTTAAACAGTTTACAGTCTAAAGGAAACAAAACCTGTATGTTATAATATCCAAGAAGTACTAATAGGTTTTCTGAAATGTTATATTCTCTATGCATTTAAAAAAAATGTAAACTTGACATTTTAGGGTCTTCAGTTATACATACACCTGTTATAAGGTGTTTAATATAGCTCAGGAAAGTAAGCATTTTGTGAGAAAAATGAATTTATTGTATCTAATGAGAAAGATTGGATGAATGTTCTCAAATGTTACAAAGCTGTTAAAAAGGTATATATAAGTAATCGGAACACTTAGAAAACTGATAAATGTCACACAGTGGTATTATAGAAGGATAATACAGAGCCAAGATCAAATTAAAAGACAATAAATGGAACAGAAGGGAGGCAATGTTTAGCTTTGTATAAACTTTTAGGTTTGCTCTGTAATCTGCTAAACCATATACATTCTTTTGTGATATGTTACCATGTATGTGGCACTCGAGGCACTGTATGTAAAGTAAGGAATGCTTTACTAGTTCTCCTTTGTTTTATCTTTGTTTAAACTAGCTTTGAAGTATTAAACAATAATTGAAATGAAAAGCTTATCTATTTTAAAAAGCCAAATTTAAATAAATATAGAACTTTAAAATGTTTATCAGTTGTTTCCATGAAAGAATATTAGTTTCCAGTAAATTTTAGTGATGGCTCACTCATTTTTCCGTTTTGGAATTACATAGTTATATAAGTAGAATTTTTAAAACTCATAAAGGGAGCACCATTGTACAGTCTAGCATAAAAAGCAAATTTTAAAGAGGATATATTTAAGTTCATAATCATTTTTCAGTAAATATTGCTCAGTGAACTGGAAAACTTTAATAGAAAAATGTCTGCAGTTTTGTGATTGTTAATTTGGTTAAACTGATATTTTATATTATTTAAGTTAGGTAACATTTTATATTACTTTCATATGAATAAAGGTAATCCATGCATTGTAGAGCCTAAAAATGTTGCGTTTTTTTAGATGATATAAACTTTGATTCTGGGCACTAGTGCTAGTAGATATTACTGCCCTTCTGAGGGAAATCAGAAGTGATTTACCCCCAATGGAATACATTAATTCTCGAAGTGGCTCCTTTCAGTAGTGTGACTTTTAGAAAATATCTCAGTAGTTAAGGAAGCTAACAGTCTTAGATCTTTTAAAATGGATGACCTTCTTAAGAATAAAGCAAAAGGTGATTTTCTACATAATTTATGCTTTCCAAAAGTGATATGCTCTCCTGCAGCAACATATAAGTGAGAAGAAAAAAGGCTTATCTAGACTCGAAAATTAAAAGCAATTATAGTAATATTTCCCCTCCTCCTAAATAGTAAAAAGCTCTGATTGTACAAGAATTACCTGTGCTAGTCAAGTTTTTTTTCCTTGAACAACTTTGGAAAAATGGATTTGACAGTACATAATCAGTTCTAACCAAAGCTTGTATCTGGAAATTTACTTTTTGTACAAATTGAATTATATAATGCTTAAAATACTTTAATTCACTTTATAAGCAAAATGCATAGTACTTAATTTGTTTATACTGTAAAGTATATGTTAAATGCTTTTATCACTTTGAGAATAAAAAGTTACTAATGCTGTTGTATTTTACTTTTTAAAAACTACACATATTTGACTTTAAACTTAAAAATGTTTCAAATCCATATTTGATGGATATAATATTTAATATTAAACAATGTTTATGATAGACTTGCTTTTTTGAAGATACGAGGTTAAGCTCATGGAACCTGTTCTTGAAATAAAGTCTGATGCCTAAAGAAATAGGAAATTTAAAACCTACCATGATATACAAATTTTTAAATGTTTATACAGAAAATAAGGAATGGGTTCTTTCTGCATTCAGAATGAGAACTTATAAAACACATTATTTAGACAAAGAATTAGTCTTTAAGGGTCCTAGAACCCAACCAGTCTTTTTAGAGATAAATGTCTTTATATAAATTAGAATAGTTTTCAACTACTGAAATTATTTTCATTGTCTTACTGGCTTTCAATTTGGTAATTTAGGCTGTTTTAACCATATCAGAAAAAATAGGTATGATTGAAGATTAAGTCAATTTAGTGCATTTAAAGAACCTTTTTGTATTTTTGGGAAAGTTTAGGCTGAAAGGAAGGAGTTTGTGTGAAGAAGGCTCAAGCCTCCACTAGGTCCTTTAACACACTATAGTTAATCTCTACCCCACACATAGATGATAATCTTTTCACAGACTCCAACCCCAGTTTGTGGGGCTGGTTTTAATTTTTACCAGGCAGGAAAATTCCAGCTGCTTGCTGACACCCAACTTTACAAAGGGCACAAAGCCTTTTACTCCAAAAGTGAAATAAGAGCTTATCCTTAGAATAATCAGTCCAATAAAAGGATAAATAATCCTAACTTGTTTTAAATAGGAGAGAAAATTTTGAAAGGAAGGTTTGAAGAGCAGGAAACTACTTGGATGATAAAGGGTAAATAATGACGAGGATGCTAGAAACACTGGCCAGCCTGTTTGTGAACAGGGAAAAAGCATGTGTGTAGTTTTGGAACATCACTCTTTGTATAGCCTGCCAACAATTTATTTAAAACAAATCTTACAGGAACTGTAATCCCAGGTAATTCAGTAAGTGCCACCACAGCAGACCATAAAACTGGATAAGACTTCCTAAGACTTGATTTTTTTCTTGAATTTTTAAGGAGCCGCCAATATCGAGGGTTCCAAATAAAGTTTAGTAGACTTTTTCACTGTCCGTTTTCCTCTACCTGCAACAATATATTAGATGACACTTTGTGGGTATACTTACCTAATTTTGAGCCAGATTAGTGAGAGGATATACTCACTGTAAAGCCCCAGTCAGACAAAAAATACATAAATTTTAACATCTACAACATTTTTTTGAGACAGTCTCACTCTTTTGCCAGGCTGGAGTGCAGTGGTACGATCCCGGCTCGTTGCAACCTCCACCTCCTGGATTCAAGTGATTCTCCTGTCTTAGCCTCCCAAGTAGATGGGACTACAGGCATGTGCCATCACGACCAGCTAATATTTGTATTTTTAGTAGAGACGAGGTTTCACCATGTTGGCCAGGCTGGTCTCAAATTCCTGACCTCAAGTGATCTGTCCACCTTGGCCTCCCAAAGTGTTAGCATTACAGGCGTGAGCCACCACGCCCAGCCTACAACAACAGCAAAATAGACACTGCATTTAAGTTGTACTTAAGTTATAATTAAATCACATTACATCATATTGTTCAAAGGGCAGCAAAACTTAATTGGCAGATTTCTGCGTGGCTATGTTTTGGTTTCTCAACTATTTTGAAAGCATGTTCTTCAATCATCTTTATCTGAAAGCTCTACATCTTGTAAGTAGAATTGACAGGTTTAATTCTTAAGAAATACTTTTGTAAATGTTAATGCTGTCTATGCTGTAGTTACCTGAATCTATGGTGCTTTCTGTCTTCATTTAATTAAGATTCTTAGGAACAATGAAAAATCATGGTTTTTTTTGGGACGGAGTCTCGCTCTGTTGCCCAGGGTGGAGTGCAGTGGTGCCATCTCAGCTCACTGCAACCTCTGCCTCCTGGGTTCAAGTGATTCTTCTGCCTTAGCCTCACATGTAGCTGGGATTACAGGCACGGGCCACCACGCCCAGCTTTTATTTATTTATTTTTTTTTGGTAATTTTAGGAGAAACGGGGTTTCACCACATTGGCCAGGCTGGTCTTGAACTCCCGACCTTCAGCGATCCTCCCACTTCAGTTTCCCAAAATGATGGGATTCCAGGCATAAGCCACTGCGCCTATCCAAAAATCTTGAATGCTTTTTTCACATAACTATTAGAATGTTGTTTAAAAATTCCAGGTACAGATGTCCTCATTTGTTTTTCCTACATAACCAAGTTCTTTGATTTGCAGTTGACCAAAACTTGGTACAAGAATCTTTGTCTCTTCAAGGCAGTTCTGGAAATCCAAAATCCTGAACTGTTTTTCCAGAGCAATTTTCCTAAGAGTTTGGCAGACGTTGGTGTTGCCTGAGTTTAGCCACTAGATGGTGATAATGCACAGATCCAAGTTTTCTTGTGACATTGTAAAGACAATTAGCAGGTTAAAGAGGCAGTATTAATTTGGAATGTTTAGGCATTATTATCAGGAGTACACAGGCTAAATAGGAGGTGTGAAAGAAAGTTCTCCCTCTGTATTTGAGGAAGATACCTGGTGACGGTTATTTTCAGACTGTTGTGGAACTACAGTTAAAAAAAAAAAAAAACAGTAAAAATGAATTCCTAGACAAAATAAGACCAAAGACACATAAAATACAAGCTCCAATTTTTTTAATTAGACCCAACAGAAACAAAAACACTCCAACAAATTGCTTTAAAAGTTTATAAAAGCTTCCTGTCAGTATCTGTACTTATTTCCTCACAGACTAGTAACATCTGGTTGGCAGGCACTGGTCTGAGGACCACACTTTGGTGCTAAAAAGCCTGTACTATAGTGCATCCAATTCAGTCAGCAGAACCTGGGTTCAAGACCTGACTTCATTACTACTAGCTGGGTAGCCAGAGAAAGATCACTTAGCCTTTCTAAGGTCCAATTTACTCATTTGGATCAGGCTAATTACATCTATGATTAAGCTTTCTATGAGAGCTCAGTAATAATGTACTAACCTCTCAGGAAGCACTTGAATATCAGCTGAAACTGAATCACATAATTGGTACATTTACATATTAAATGTGAATTGTTTTCTCGGACATCCACTCCATCTTCTTACTGACTGGTGTTTTATCCTTGAATAGAAACGTGTTCAGTTGATCATCAAATACTTAAAGGACCTTGAAAGCTTGTCTGGCTCTAATGAAAGCACAGCTGAACTCGGACCGAAACCTGTCCTCTCTCGGAGATGTGCAACCTCTTCCACTGCGCTGACAGCTTTGTGGGAAGAGGGAGAACTACAGGAAACAGTGAGGAAGTCAGACGCTGCCTGTTTACGCAAACATGTCTGCAGCCATATACCTGCACACCCCGGCTGGAAGAACTGCGGAAGCACTATGCCATCAGCTTAAAGTCTAGGTGACTACAAAACCCGGGAAGGTCTGGCACATAAACTACATGAGGCAAGATCAAGGATGACAATTTGTTCTTTGATATTATCACTGCCATTCACTGTGACCTGCCAAACATATACAACTTCCATCTTTACAGCAATCCTAAATCCTAGGATTTAGTGATGTTAGGTTGCTTAAATAACACAAGCCAGTTACTAGCTAGTTCCAAAATGCCAGCCAGAAATGTGTGTTAACACTGGATTTGCCACATCTAGAAGCACAACCACTCCAGTTACGGTTTCTAAACGAATCTCTAAAGTTATGTGAATGGACTGTAATCAGACTATACTAAACTTGGTTCCAGAAGTTATAAAAGTTGTAAAGTCAGTCTAAACTAAAGCACTTGAGTGAAAAAGTGTAACTGCCATACCAGAAAAAAGAGCTCCCATCATGAAAATGTCACTGAAGGTATTTTTTTTATTTTTGAAAGTATTTTAAAAATCTCAGCACATCATATCTATCTGTGGGACCTTGGGTCCAAAGGTCCTACATAACTGATATGAACCATAATTCTCTGTATTAACAAAGGCTCGGAAATTGAAACCAAGATCACTTAACTTGCTCACTTTGGCCAATATAGTACGAATTTCAGTTTCTTTCCAAGAGAAAAGTCCTGAGATGTTAATATGCAGCAGTTCTGCTGATGTGCATTTTAACTTCCTGCACCAAGGAAGAAAAGCTAAGAAATTCACAAAAGTAAAATCAGCCCCTGAAAAACAGATGCTGGTGATTGGCGAAAAAAGCAGTAGAATTAAGGTGTTTTATAAACCAGAGAGTGTTTTGTTTTTGTTAGGTAAAGGGATTTCTTCATATGTTATTTTGATAAAAGGGAATTTCATAGGTAAAAACCAATATTCAAAATTATAAAACAAATAGAACTCTCTGTGCACAATCACTGCATCAAAAATTTGCAAGAGATTCAACAGAAATTCTTTAGTTGACAAATGTGGTTTGAAGGGGTAATAAAATCTTTTTATGGCTAAACCAAGAGTCTTGTTTCCTGTTGGCCCAAAAACAGATGTTTCATTTCCCAGATAAGTAGGTTCTCCACTGTAAAGAAATATTCTTGTATAGTTCGTTCCTATGTTCTTGAACTCTGCTCCAAATTCAGCCAGCTTGCTAAAGGTCCTTAACACAAACTGGGAACAGTCGTAGGAATCAAACCATGTCTCTGCCCCTTTTTCTGGGCTGGCTTTTACATTCCATGTCTCGTAATAAATTCCTGTTTCATTGTCCTGTTTCACCCACTTTGCCATTTGATTGAACATGTTTCCTAGTTCAAAAAAACAAAACAAAGTCACCTAGTGAACGAAGCTAATCATGTTAATTTTTTTTTTTTTTTTTTTTGAGTCAGGTCTCCTCTGTTGCCAAAGCTAGAGTACGGTGGTACAATCACAGCTCACTGCAGCCTTGACCTCCCAGGCTTAAGTGATCCTCCCACCTCAGCCTCCTGAGTAGCTGGGACTACAGGTGCGGGCCACCAAAGCCAACTAATTTTTTACTTTTTTTTTTTTATTTGAAAACAGCCTGGGCAACACAGGGTCTTGCTGTACTGCCCAGGCTGGTCTCAAACTCTCAGCCTCAAGTGATCCTCCTGCTTCAGTCTTCTAAAGCACTGGGATTATAGGTGTGAGCTACCATGCCTGGCCTAATCATATTAATTTTAAGTAAAATGTTCTAACTTGATTAAGACTATGGATGCATGTGAGTAAACAATGGTTTTGGATTTCCACACCTATGAAACCAAAAAAGAGTCCGCATTGCCAAGACAGTCCTAAGCCAAAAGAACAAAGCTGGAGGCATCAC